CTCAGTTTTACTTTGAAGTGCAGATGAAACCATATGCAACATCTGCGTTGTAGCCTGTGAGTTTTCTGCTTCTTTTAAGCTTCCTGTTGGTTCTATAATGGACACGGAACATCCCTCGTCATTTGCCTAGTGAAAGAGAGAGTGAAACGTAAAAGGATTCTCTTATATCTATGGAGTTAGAAAAATATATGAAATGGTAAAAATAAACTAAACTAGTGCTAATTGTAACGGGAACCGTTACAGATGTTCCCTAAACGCTCCCCCAACTTCATTTTGGTGCCTCATTCCCTCTAAGCTTCATCAAATAAACTAAACTCTATGCATCTTAAACTTAAACAACGTTTTTCCTAAGGTATACCAAGTATATAGCAAATTTTAGCATTGCACGTGCGCACACTTGCATGCATATGCGGAATGACCATATCATTGTATCTACACTATTAATTTATTTTAATGTACTTAATATAAAGGCATTTAATCAAAAAATATTCGAAAATACGCTAAATCAAGTGCATTTGTAATTATACATATTGCACATGCATGTGCATGATGGCCATGCCTTCTTGTAGGGGTCCATTAAGACTATGTTTTAAATCCCATCCTTTTTGGTTGAAAACCAACGGAGTTATCGCCATTTAAAGTTTTAGCCAATCAGATTGCAGCGCACACGCATGCGCGTGATTTCATGAAAATTATTTTATATCATATCGTAGGATATCTTAATGTATGACTATGTTTTAAGTTTCAAAGTATTTCGTCAAAAAACGAATAAGATATTAAGATTTTTGTTTCAGCCAATCAGAGCAAAGCGCACGTGCATGCGCGTGCGTTCATGATAATTTGACTATGTCCTCTTGTCTATAATACTAATATATTCTTATATTCTGAGTTTCAACACATTCCATCAAAAAATAGAAAAGTTGCGGCTATATTAATTATATTGGTCATTTTACATGTTGCACGTGCGCGCTCTTGCAAGCATGTGCGTGCAAAATGACCTTGATTCCACAAATCTACATAACATGTCTACTTACCCTAAAAAGGTTTTACCTACACCAGATGAACAGTTTACAAGATCATTCGCGGACAAATAAGTACCCAGGAAGAAGAAAAATAATAACTAGAAAGTCTGCTATTGCAAGCAATAGCATATATCGACCCGTACTGGACAAGACTTTCATTTTTATCATCACTAAAACAATGGTCCATTAGCTAGGCTTGGACAACCATCGAGTCGTATCAGTCCTTGGAAACGGAAGACCTTAATTGGGTACATCCCACTAATTATTTTTAGAATCGGTAGGAGAAGAAAGTAGTGCAGGAAAAACTTACAAGTTCCTAAATTTGCAGACTTGCATAACAGAAATTGGGCAGATGTACTGAACTGAGCCTCATACTTGTTAATTGGCAGTATCTTTCCTACCAAAAAGCTTGGCAAATGTAATTTATTAAGAAAATCAGCCGAATTATTTTGTGTATTATAACGCCAGTGAGAACTCTGAAATTTTCCTACTTTCACTTTCATTTTTAGAGGTTCTGCCGGAAAACGAATCTGACATGTCACCTTCAATTCGAGCATTTCTGCATTGCACAGCGCTGATGTTTGTTATGAGATGATACATCATGTGTAAACCTTCTCAGTTTAGCGGAATCATGAACATTTTCGGCGAGATGAATGTTTTGTTTACAGTGGTGATCAAGGCTTCGCGTCTTATTTAAAAAGAGCTGATTGAGGTTATTTAAGTAAATTTTAAGTTATGATTAGAAAAATCAAAGACTGTATAGAAGTACATGCAATCATTAACGTTATTTTCAACCCCTGTTTTTGTTTTTTATTGTCTATTCGATATGAATAACAAATACTCGAAAAATTGGGAATACAAATATAGCAGATTATATTAGATATTTATCCCACATATAACTTTTTTTCCATTATATTTAATTAAAGCATGTAAACAAAAAAGAATAATATCAGAATAGAATGTTAGAATAATTTTGCTGAACAAGTATGGAATATTACAATTCATATATTTGTGGAAGGATATACATGTACAGTAGGATGCACAGGAATTGTTTATAATTTAGGCAGAACATCTAAATCATAGTGAATGTTATCAACTAAACCTATCATGTATAGTGATCTGTGTACCTTTTAAAAAAGATTAGTTTTCAAATGCTAGTCTACAGCATAAAACATTACAATAATTTAAGTGTTTTCTATAGTTTTAAAAATCCTTTTGGTAACTAAAACGAATTTTCTGATTCGACAACGCGTAGACAATATATAAATGTTACTTCTTACCCGTGAAGTAAATGTATTTAACAGGATAAGGAAGAATTTTATCTACTTTTTATAATAAGTACCCAGATTTCGAGAGAAATTATGCAATGATGTAAAATTCAACCCCCCCTCCCCCCCATAATCGCTCCACTGCACAGTGAAATGATCAAATGTATATGTTGAAAGGTTTTCTTTTGTTAATGATTTGACTATCTTTCAATATTTGTATGTGTATGATTTGCGGTATTTGATAAGAACAAGTTCTTTGAACTTTTTGAATAATTTGTTTGAACAAAGAAAATTTAACACAAGTGTACTTGTGATAAAAAAAAATCAGATTAATCAGTCACGGAAGTTAAAAAAAACTTTACAAATAAAGGACAAAGTATGGTAATGACCGAATTTTGTCTCTTATTTGAAATGATAGAAATCAAATTACAGCCAAAATAGCTATAGTTTGCAGTTATGAACTATTAATATTGTAAAACGATTCTAAAGTTGGATATATTGTCGATTTTTTTTTTATTTATTCTAGTAGAATTTAGTCAAATTTGAGGCTATTTTCACTTCGGGAAACACGGAGCACGAACTTTCCTTTATAAGATTTTTTTTACTTCACAAGAAGCATATGATTTAAGTGCATGATATATAAAATTTGGTTTGTAGGCAAGCTTACATTTATGCTCTGAAACAAAATGTGCTAAAATTAATAGAGAAAAAATAGAGACAATTGCATTTAGGTAAACAAAATAAATAACATAATTTTGATCCCTGGAAGACTTACATGTATGTAAATTCTAGAGAAATGAAAAAAGATGAATACACTAAATATTTCAGGCTTAAAAAGTCCCTTTGTTTGGAAATTACTACATACTTTTATAGAAACCAAACAGGGTTAATTGAAATCGAAGATAACAAAAGGGAAGTGAAAAACTGAAAAATAAAACGCAGTGCAGAAATCAAAACGGAAGGAAAGTGAAAAAAAGAGATAATTTTCATATCACAAAGTAACAAAAACTAATCTGATACTGTGAAATTTAAAAGGAAACGTCATATTCTTGCATTTTTAATAGGAAGCCTGGAACTTGACACTGCTATTGACATACTGTCTTGTTAAATGTGAATTTAGTGCAAATCTTTGAAAGAAGATAATTGTTCTTATGTACCCCGCACATATCTGTGTGTTCAAACCTCTTTATTAAAATTTTTCATTTAAATACTTTCATGATAATAAGTTAAATATAACAATTTGTCCTTTCTCTTGACTATTCCTTTTTATGTAAGTTATTGTGTAATAACATTCATAACAATAAAATAACGTTTAGAAACAACTCCCTCGACAGATTAAAAAAAATACATATTTTTGTCCTTTTACAGCCTACCAATACACACTGGTGTTGAATTATATGATGTGCATATAATCATAAATTCATATAATTGTTGTGATCCAAAGGGGAAAACCCCTACCAATCGTGCTTGCTGTGCTGTTGAGAAATCAACTAGATATGATGATACAAAAATAGGGTAACGCCATTAAAATGAGTAGATTTTGTACACTATAACCTCTTTTTGATGAAGCAGTATAATAAAACAGAAGTTTTGTATCTTTATTTTAATCTAGCAAATCATTGATACATATACGGTTAAGAAATCCAGATACAGAGAAAATATATTAATGTCTTGGTTGAAATATAAAATTATTTTGACATATTTTTGTTTTAAATATTTTTTTGGATATGTGAACTTTATTTGATGTTCAATATTCAACCTTTCTACAAATATAAACCATCCTTCTTTATCTAAACAATTTTTTGTCAAATAGAAAAAAATCCCATTTTTGTGAAATATTGAATGAAAACTTCAAATCCGTGCAATTTAAATTATACATTTTACAGATAAAAAATAAAACTTAATTAAGTTGTATTTTTCAGGATTTTTATACTATTTTGTTGGTTTCCTTTATCATAAGCCAAAGGGAAAAAGACACATTCTCTTCCTCATCCGGTTTTAATGTTATGTATCGATTATAAGATTGTAGTTTTCACTTCTCTATCAAAAGTAATTTTCGATTTTTTTTAAAAGGACTTCAGCATAATTAACATCATTTTTCTTATTTTATTAAGAAATTTTAAATGATGTTTGGGTTGTATGCGTTTTCATATAAATATGATATGTTTTGGTGTATAACTCAATTATATGTAAAATCAATCGTCACTATGTAAAAATTTAACAGCTATGTACTTTGTACATTTTTACCATACCCAAGTTGTTTCTTTGCTGTCAGAAGTATCTAGTGGTTTTAACATTTATCACAATCGGTCAACTTTCCTACATTCAATTTAATGCACTTTAGTAATTAAATGAAAACAGATGTTATCGCAGTATGATAAGGATATATACTATAGTTTTTTTTTATTGCAATTAAACTCTATTCTGGATCTTCATACTGGAACTTTCCCATCAAAAGTCATATACATTTTCATTCGAGAATGTTGTCATTGGTTGCTATAAATATTTTCCTCTGTTGTTTTCTCTTGTACCCGGATGTAGGCCAGAACAACATTGTAGATCATCATGTACTCTTCCTTTCGGAACAAAAAATATTAATAGATATTAGGTTGACCAACATATATATGTAATAATTCTGATTGTAGATTCACATAGGAAATCAAAAATACATAGCATCAAATGTAAAAATGAGACGTATTTATGTAAGATGTTGCCAGAGACAAGCAGAGTTCCGGTCGTCTGATCTGTATCTGACGGACAGCAGTGAAAATGTCCACCTCTCTGTCCATAGACAACTGTTGAAGTGTGTTAAACACAACACAAAATACACCACATAGAACTGCTCCGTCACTCATAATTCAAAAAATAATATTATCATATCTGTAGATAACTGTTTTAGTCCGTAATAAAAGACACAAAATACACCATATAGGGCTGCTCCGTAAAAACAAAAATTGAAAAATATATATTTATATCCATAAACAACTTTTATAGTGTGATAAACACGGTTCGAAAAACTCCACATAGGGCAGCTCCCTCACTAACAATACTTAAAAAAATATATCAATATCCATAGACAACTCTTATAGTGTGTTAAACACAGCTCAGAAAACTCCTCATAGGGCAGCTCCGTCACTGATACTGAAAAATTATAAATATCCATAGACAACTGTTGGGCTGCTCCCTCATTGATAATTTTAAAAATATCAATATCCTTAGATAACTGTTGTTTTACTGAATATTTATTAAGTTAGGATATAAATGTACCTTCACTAATAATGAATAGATTTCGAAAAGAGACACATGTATGGACGTGATAAAAGGAAATATTGTAAAGGCCGTTTTTTTGTTTATCGTCCCCTAATACATTTTCGTTTGCGATTTCTTTCGAGGTTTTACGATTTATTTTCTTTACTTGCTGGCTACTGTAATGGGACCTTCAGTTTTACTTTGAAGTGCAGATGAAACCAAATGTAACATATGCATTGTCGCCTGTGAGTTTTCTGCTATTTTCAAGCTTCCTTTTGGTTCTATAACCGAAACGGAACATCACTCGTCATTTGCCTAGTGAAAGAGAGAGTGAAACGTAAAAGGATGCTTCGAAATCTAGGGAGTTACAAAAACATTTGATATTGAAAACGTATCATTTCAATAAACATTACCTACCCCTTCTTGGATAATGTTGATTGTTGTAAATTTGATATCTGTGACTTGCTCTTCTCCAAAATTTACCGTGAATGGAAGTATGGATTTTTTACTGTTTGCAGCTGGTAGCCACATCTTTGTCTACATATCACAGAGATTTTCAAAATGAACATTATTTATTGGTAATCGTTTGTTATATTAAAATCAAGATATTAAATGTATTTACTCACTGATTCAACTTTCGTTAGGGGATCCATACAAATGACTTCATCTGATTCGTAGTCAGTGAGCAGGCGCAAAAAGTTGGCACGCCCTCTATCGCGGGATAGGGTGTTATTATAAAAGCCTTGTTCTTGGTGTAGGACTGAAAAATGGAAATAAGTCAATATTTTTTTTGTAATTATAACTCTACTTTGATATGAAAGAATTTTTTCATCTGCTCATTAAATCCTCTAATATGTATCTTTCAGTACAAAAACGGTTTTAATTTTTCAGCACTGTAAATATTAATTAATATTGATACTGATGAGAACTTATTTTTTCGACAGTTTACAGGAATTTGAAGTACTTTCATTCAGATATCCAAAGGATTGATTTCCTTGTAATGTACTTTTATTTCTTACAGTAAACATTCATTTTAATCAATAGCTAAGCAATACAAATATTAACATACAGGAAGTGTAATGGCATTGATATGATTCCCCCGTTTTGGTACACTTGAAGACAGGAACAGGCGATACTTGTCAACTAGAAATGAGAAGTTTTAATTTTTTACTTTGTATAAAACCACATCTCTGAATGGTATGTGCATAACTCAAAAGATTATACACAATTTACAAAAAAATGAATAAAGCACCATCTTTGTAACGGAATTGGTTGATGCAGTGTAATGGCGATAAGTTTTTCAATTTTTTTTTTACAAGTTTACATGTTCACCAATCCTCTCTGCTATACTTGAACAGATTTTTAGCTCTTCTGAGCCAAAGGCTCAAAGAGCTAATGCTATGGCCATTTGTGTGGTGTGCGATGTGCGTAAACTTTTTAGAATATGCGCCATAACTAAAGAACCCCTTGGCCAATCAGCGTTAAATTTGTCACAGCGTATCCTTGGCCCAAGGGCTACCATTTTTACTAAAATAAGGGTTGGGACCCTTAAATAAGGGGAGATAATCAGGAAAGTACTGGTTGCTAAAAATCTTTTCCTCCATAACAATCAGGCAGATTTTCATCAAACTTACATACAAGGATCAGGATATGTCGAAGATCAAAATTTGCACGGAAAAGGCAAAGGGCATGGTCTCAAAGCCACTTCAAAGTTGACCTTAATTTACACTTAATAAAAACGTTTATATTTTGCTTACTATAAAAACTAGGATCATCAAGTCTTGTAAGTTGATGCATCTTAGGACTTCACTTTATGTTAACTCAAACGTAAGTCACGGTGACCTACTTTTTAAATTTTGCGGGCATTTGTTTCCAAATTGAATTCGAGACATATTTTGGACACTTTAGGGCCTATGATCATCAAACTTTGTCAGTTTTTGGGTCCTTATAAAACGTCATCTTAAAAGTAGGTCACCGTCACCTGCTTTTTGAATTTTATGAAAAATCTCTTCTAAAAATTTTAATCCCATTTTTCAGACTCTGAGAGGTTTAGAATCATCAAATCTTATGATGCATTTTGCAGGCATTTGTTTACAAATTGCACTGTGACCTACTTTTTGAATTTTGCAGGCATTTGTTTTCAAATTGTTTAAAAGGCATATTATGATTACATTCAGACCTATGATCATTAAACTTTGTCAGTAGATGCATCTTGGGACTTCAAAAAACGTCGACCAAAATGTAGGTCATGATGACCTACTTTCGACAATTTATAGCTATATTTGAGTATCTTAAGTATTTATTGGTTTTAAAGTCATCAAACTTTGTGAGTTGATGCATCTTGGGTTTCGAAGAATTACGTCCAAAAAGTAGGTCAAACTGACCTACTTTTGACATTGTATGGCTTTATATACGTATCTCCGGTTATTATTGGTTAAGAATCAAACTTTGTCAGCTGATGACTTTTTGGTTTTCGGAGAATGCCGACCAAAAAGTAGGTCATGGTGACCTACTTTTGAATAGTTCGGCTACTTATTGGCTTAGAATCATCAAACTTTTTCATTTGATGTAGCTTGGGTTTTTTGAAAATCGTCTCCTGCAAAGTAGGTCATCGTGATCTTCTTTTGATATTTTATGGCTTTATTTAAGTATGTCAAGTACTTATTGGCTTAGAATAATCAAGCTTTGTCAGTTGATGAATTTTGGATTTTCCAAGAATGTACAAAAAAGTAGGTCAAGGTGACCTATTTCTGACATTTTATGGCTATATCAAGTCTCAGGTACTTATTGGCTTAGAATCATCAAACTTTGTCAGTTGATGCATCTTGTGTTTTCGGGTAATGCAAACCAAAAATTACATCACCTTGCCTACTTTTGACATTTTATGGCTATATTTTCGTATCTCAAGTAGTGATTGATCTAGAATTGTAAAACTTTGTCAGTTGGGGCATTTTGTTTTTCGGAGAATGTCGACCAAAAAGTATGTCATAATGACCTACTTTTGAATATATCAGATACTTATTGACTTAGAATCATGAAACATTGTCAGTTGATGTGTCTTGGGTTTTCAACAATCGTCTACTGTAAATTAGTTCACAGTGACCTACTTGTGACATTTTATGGCTATCTTTAAGTATCTCAAGTACTAATTGGCCTAGAATCAGCAAACTTTGTCAGTTGATGCGTCTTGGGTTTTCGGAGAATGCAGACAAGAAAGAGGTCACAGTAGTGACCTACTTTTAAATATCTCAAATACTTATTGGCTTAGAATCTTCAATTTTTGTGTATTAATGCATCTTGAGTCCTCAGAAAACTTCAATGTTAAAATAGGTCACTGTGACCTCCTTACGGTTTTTTTTATAGCTTTATTAAAATATCTTCAGTCCTAATTGCCTAAGAGTCAGTTGATGCACTTGGGTCTTAGGATACTTAGAGTTAGAGGCTTCAAATAGAAGTGAGAGATTGTACAATTTATCAGAAGATCGATTCAAGGCCCTTGGGCCTCTTGTTTTTAATATTGCTGAGAACACTGCATATTCCGATCTTAAAAATTGGAATTTTCTTGAATTTACGCAGGGAAAATAGTGTTTACTTAATTTATTTGTAGACTAAGATGCAAATAAAAAATATTTTTATCGTTTACTTTATGGCAAACAAGACAAACAAGCTTTTCTTTTGTCAACTTTCCTATGTTAACAATTCCATATTCCGTTCATATACAGGATGCAAAGTTTGGGGTTTTATGGTTCAACATTTGCATATAAACTATCAATTAGATTGGACCATTATGTATATAATAAGTAATTGCATTTGTAGTATTTTAATTAACGTATGGATAACTTACGTGGAAGAACACCTAAATTACTTCCGCTGCTCTCTATAGCAAATTTGTAGGCTGCCTCTGTGTATCTAGGCTCACTCTTAGGAGATTCTTAATATGGGAGTTAGAGACAAATGATTCAATTTTTTCATCAATACCAATTTAAAATCACGCTTGAATAAAGAAAAAAAAGAATAGATTAATATTTTTAAATTCGAAGTTAAAGAAGAATGAGATTTAAATTAATGAAATCTTTAATTGAATGAAATGGACGAAAAACAATTTGAAATGATGACATTATCCTTCGAAAATGAATTTAGAATATTCTTAGAAAAAAGCAAAATTAGTGTTCTAGAGATTGGTTTCAAAACTCGAATTCCAAAATAAAATAAAAGATATTGATTTCTTTATAGATTATTTATGCGTCCGATATGTGCAAAAAATTCGCAACTACTCTCTTAATATTTATTCAAACATGACACAGACGTGCCAGATTGCGTAACACATTTTGATTTTTGGCAGAGATTCTATTATATGTATGTAATTGATGCTAAAAACTTTTTTTTCATCTACTTTTTTTTGCCCCTTTCTGAATGATTTTAATCACAGTGTGATAGGGATGAAATTCCTTTTCCACAGTTTTTAGTGTTTTTGTGAGTATAAATAACATGAATTAAATTCCTTGATTCTTTGAACACGTCAAATTACAAAACAGGGCTTATACAGGCTATGCCTGCTGCCCAATTCGTTTATGTATTTCTTACATAATAAAATACAAACAAGAAACATATATTGACGCAAGCGTCAAAAATCGGCCGAAAACCAATTAATTGTTCCTTTCATAAAGCAACTAAAACTGAAATGGTGATCTTTTTAAATATCTTATATTTATCTGTTAATGTATATCCTCGTGACATTAAACGCTTGTGATTTTCTTAATTATATAATGCATGTTCAGTATTACCCCTGGTCCTCTGCGTCAACAAACCATGGCCTGTATAATTAAGAGGCATTTACATTAAAAGTTTAAAACTAAAGATTAATGTAATCTACAACTAGATATGCAGTGTAGTTTTGATTTAATAAAAACGCAACAAATATGTGAATCCTGAGGAAGACTCCCAGACTTAAAGTTGAAAATAAACAAAATAGAGAACTATTATTCTTTATAAAATGTAAAAACATCGTCCCACTTCAAACGTTAAGAATTTTTAATTATTATGTATTTATTTTCTACATTTATAAATATTTAGAAACGCTGATAACATGAGATTTTTGTGCTTGCTTTATACCCAGGAATCATTTCTTTTTCACAAACTAAATACTTGATAAAATAAATCGATCGGAACGTGCTTAAGTGTAGTGAATGGTCACATCATTATCCAGACATAAATTTGTCCTTACTAAATAAAATACAAGGCATAATGTCCATATATATAATGTTTTTAATACAGGGATAGCCGATTAGAAAAATTTTTAAAGCTTTAATGCCCTTTCACCACTAAATAAATCATATCAAGATAAAACGGGACAACTTTCCTTGATAAAATTTAAATTGTATGTTTTGACTGTGATCTTTTTCCGGAAGTAACTTTCCAGTATCCACATGAACAATATAGTTTTACAGTTAAAGTAAATATTCCTTTGTAATTTTTGATTGTTTAAAGCAAAATGCTTAATTTCACATTAAATAGTGTGGAATGTTCTTTTCAAACATAACAATATCTCTTCCATATAATAATTCGATTAAGATTTTAATAACACAAACATTCCGATGAGCATAACCTTGTACGAATGCACTTTAAAAAGTCGGGTAAAACATTCCTTGTAAATGCATTGCGAATATTATCTTATGCGGTTTAAACAAGGACCCCTGTCATAATTTAGATAGAAAATTACATCATACTCATTGCGATAAGCTTTTGGTGGAGGTGGAAGTCGTGAAATTTTTTGGCAAATAGCTTTTTACCAGTTTTTACCTGAAAGCTTGTATGTCTTGTATATCATAATTATGCATATTCAAAATCAATTGAAATATTGTCACTATAAAACATAAAAAAAATATACTACAAGCTGGAGTTGTCTTTGTTGACAAATTTTCATTACATGTAACCTTTTTGCACATGACATGTAGAAGAATTTTTATGTTAATACATGTATATGCATTATGCTCAGGTCCCTGGATAAGCCCGCTAGTCCTAAAGTCCAATAGTCCAACGGCTTAAAAATCGGAAGGTTTACGAGTCCGACCATCCACTATTTTACAATTTTACAAGTCTGAATGTTCACAAGTCCGAATTAAAAAAAAATACCTTATTTTTTTATTACTCATAGCATATGCTTAACATTTTAGCACAGTGTTTGCTTAAGTATGTCATTTGGTGGTTTCATTTTTGTACAAATCTGATATCAATTTCCTGTTTATCTGTGCATCTGTCCTTTCCAAAGTTCTGTCGCAGTTTTCTAAGCATGTACTCAATTTCAAATGCTTGAAATTTGAGCACAATTTGTCTTTGCGTATGTTAAATCATAGGAATCATTTTTGTTTGAATCTGAAGTCAACTTCTACTTAAGCCCTGCATCTCTCTGTAACAAATCAAATATCCGTTACAGTTGTCTCAGCGACTAAATATTGCAGATGCTAAAATTATTGCACACTCTTTCTGTTGGCATGCCATATTGTGGTATTTAATTTTACTTTAGTCGTGGAAATTTGAAAGATACAACACAACCTTTAGAAAGTACGTTTTTTAAATTTTATTATTAAATTTTGATTAAAAAAGTGAAAGGATATGTGACATTCCAACCCGTCTCAAATTCCTAATTTAAAAATTAAAATTAGGAAAACATATTGTTTTGCATATTATACATATGTAATTACGAGAAAGTATGTAATGCTAATGTACTAAAAGCAGAGAAACATTCATTCAATTACTAGTATGTGTTAAGATCTTTTATACATAGTTTATAGATACAAAATTGAAGAAAATGATTTAAACAATGTCATTTTAAAATATTTCTGGCTCATCATAGGCTTAGGTAGAAAACAATTTTGAGAGTGAAGCAAATTAAAATTGTGGAGAACGTTAAGGTTGCCATTGAGCATGTTTAAAACTTTTGAAAATTAGCATTACTATAACCTCCTTCCTCCATATTGTGTTGTGATAGGATTCCGTTGAGATGTGAACAAAAGTCAAATAATTAAATAAATTTGACACTTAAAACATTTGAAGAAATATGCAAATTTTAATAATTGTGGGTACACATGGAAAGCTTTTACATCAATGCTGAGCACAAGCTTGTGTGTGCAAATGAACGTAAGTAACGTTATAATGTTAATATATATCCCCTTCTCCACAACATGTTATGCGATTGGATTCTGAATCTGGTTGAGATATGTGAAGATAAAATGTAGCATAACAAAACTGAGGGTATATGACATATGTCCCCTCAATAAAAAACAAATATATGTAGACATAAAACAATAAGAATTGTCTATGTAAGCAAAGCTACAAATACTCCTGAGTTATGTTCTAAACTGTAAACATCAATAACGCCACCATCTACATTTTTTTGTCTGCTTTTGCATTTTGATGAAGTTCTTCATAAGTGTTTGTGTGGTCAAGTTCACTTAGTTCTGCATAAGGGGAAATATTCCTGTCAGATTAAAAGACAAGAGGCCCATGGGCCACATCGCTCACCTGAGTAACTTAGGTGATGAATATCTTTACCAGATTCCCCCTCTTGCTATACCTATCATGCCCAACAACCCCCTTCCCTTTTTTATTTTAAAACTTTAGAATCTACACTACTCAAGGATGCTCCCACATAAGTTTCAGCTTTCCTGGCCCAGTGGTTCTTGAGAGGAAGATTTTTAAAAATTTGTTCTATATTTTTCTATGTAAAACTTGGAATTCCCTATTGTGGCCCCGCCCACCCCCAGGGGTCATGATTTTAACAATTTAATATCTACACTACCAAAGGATGCTTCCATATAAACTTCAGCTTTCCTGGCCCAGTGGTTCTTGAGAAGAAGATTTTTTAAAGATTTGTTCTATATATATTTCTATGTAAAACTTGGATTCCCTATTGTGGCCCGCCCTACCCTTGGGGGTCATGATTTTAACAATTTAATATCTACACTACCCAAGGATGCGTCCAAATAAGTTTTCGCTTTCCTGGCCCAGTGGTTCTTAAAAAGAAGTTTTTTTAGTGACTCCACCCTATTTTTGTCTTTTCTTGATTATTTCCCCTTGTATGGGGACTTGGCCCTTCTTTTTAACAATTTAAACTCCCCTTTACGCAAGGATGCTTTGTACCAAGTTTGGTTAAAAATGGCCCATTGGTTCTTGAGAAGAAGTCGAAAATGTGAAAAGTTTACAGACGGACGGACAGACGAACAGCTAGACAGACGGACAGACGGACGGACGACGGACAAAATGTGATCAGAAAAGCTCACTTGAGCCTACGGCTCAGGTTAGCTAAAATTATTAAGAAATCAATCCTTGAAAAAGCTTTAAGTAAAGTGGAAAAGTTCAATATTAAATAAGTGAATAAAAAAATACATACATATCTCGCCCACTTTGTTTATCTGAAAAGTATAAGCTTAAAAATTGCAACCTTCCCGATAAAGTTTTACTTTTTTTTTTACATGTAATGGGATCGATATTTCATTTGTTAACAAAAGCTTTTCATGGACTTTATAGCTCTTAAACATTTTCCCAACAGTCCTGGTCATTATATAATTATTTATCCAAGAATGAATGTAATAGAGTTTTTTTTCTAAACCATGACATTAGCTTTTAATACGATGATTTTAAATACAGTGGCAATGGTTGGATGCTACTTTTACTTCAACTTATATTGTAGGCATCGAAAAAAAAAACACCATTGAATTTCACCGTTATCTTTGTTCACATTACAGTGTTCATATGATAAAAATGCCCTTTACGTGTGTATATTTTATCATACCTCCTATATCAACAGATGGGAATTCGTTGTAAAAGTCTTTTTCATTTGTGGTGTCTAAAACCTTCCCTTTCTCTGTAAAAATAGAGTGAATTCATAACAGAAGGATTATTTTTAAAAAAGGATGTCTTATCCAGTACCAATAGTTTACGCTTTCGGTAAAACACTTTCGATTTAAGTATTTCCAACATATATGTGTTAAAAAGTATTACTTTTAACTTAAACATTTTAAAAAAGCATAAATGGAATATGTTTTTAATTCTATTTTTCATGTACTATTTTTTTGAATGTTTGAAAAGACACATAAATGGCAAAATAGAATTAAAGCAATTACGTACGCTGCATTTTCCTCCAGATGATAAAGTTTAGGAGACTGCTCATCAAGACAATTAAAATACAGACAACCACACTTGTAATGGTGATTGTATAGTCATTCTTACATCCGTCGCTACTTTGTGCCTGCTAAAATTGGATAAAAGAAGACTACAATTTATACGTAGACCATTTGCAATATAATTATGTATCTATAACAAAATGAAATTGATTTCAACTTTAGAAAAATGCAACTTAGAATTTATTATTTCATTAAGTTTAAAAAAAAATCATTTTATTTTTTCATGCCCTTCGTATGTTTTATTAATTACATTACCTGTGTGTATGATAGACAATGTCCTGATTCGTGATGACAGGTCTGGCTGACACATTCTGTACTACATGTCTCTTTGCAATTGACTCCCCAGTACGATCGTCCACAAACTACAAAAAATTAAAAGGTTAAAGAACTTTCAGGTCACCTGTGGAATCAATCTCACTGTCATCCGGTAGATCAAGCTGAAAAAAAACATAATTAGGTGTTTCCTGACAGCACAGGACACAAAAATAATATACAAAGCATAAAAAGATGAAATGAAAAAGAAACTACTGTCAAACAAACAAAACAAAATATTACATATGATTATTTTATACCATTTGTACAAAGAGGCCCGTCGTATCCTACAGCACACCCTCCTGGACATGTACCGTTGACATGGTTACACGTGGTATTGTTCATACAGTGTCCACAGCTTTTATTGCAGTTATAACCATACTTTGCATCCTCACACACTAATCAATGAATAAAACAATTTTTCTTTCTTTCTACCAAAAACTTTTTCTAGTGCAAACACAATATTAAAAAAAGGTTTAAACTTAATTCGAATCGTTTAAAGCATTTTTATTGTAGATAACTAGAGTGTACTACCTTTTGCAAATGCAATGATTTTGACAAAAGTTTAAATACCTACTTGTAGTTTGAGAGATTATAAACAAATAAGTAAAGAGAAACAAAATTCAGAAGATGTAAACGAAATAAGATACTGTGGTCTTTGTTTTGTGTGCATGCTATTGTTATAGATTAACATATCAATAACCAAGTTACACACAGATTCTCCCAATCCTCATCTCAAAAAAAACATACCAATGTTGCAGAGGGATCCCTGGTATCCTTTAGAACATCCTTGTAAACAAGTACCGTTGATATGATGACACTGTTCATTGTTTAGACAATGACCACATACTTGATTACAATTAACACCATACATTCCACTGTCACATGCTGAATATAAATAAAAAAAGGTTTTGAAAGAAATCTTATATATGAACTTATGCAACAGAATCGGTTTTAAACTTCACTCGGTACATGCCAAATCAATCGCTCAATTCCAGCGTGCAAGAGTATTGCAAAAACCTTTTAAAAAGGAAAAATAAAAGAATACACATTATTTTTTTTACCTTATATACTTTACATTATCTCAATTACAATGCCAATTATAAGAAATATACCCCTTTGACTAATAAAAACATCATTTCATGAAAAAGTTTGCATACCTATATGGCTCATTCAAAAACTGATGTTCATAAACATTTTTTTTAAATTCTCAATTACACCCTATAATTGACTTTAAAATTGAAAACACGATACCTTTGTCACAAAGCAATCCCTTGAAGCCTACAGAACACCCTCCATAACATAAACCGTTGACGTGGTTGCACTGAATATCGTTAATGCAATGTCCACAGCTGTGATTACAGTTGTTTCCATACATACCTCCATCACACGCTATTTTTTATTAAGAAATTTCCCTTACAATTAGTGTTTTAATTTGAAAATAACAATTCTACATTTAGAAGTAAATATGAGAATATGCCAAATATATATTTACTGTGTTTGAGGAAGAAGCAATGATGGTAATACTATACCAGAATTGCAGAGAGATCCTTTGTATCCATTAGAACATCCCTGTAAACAAGTACCGTTGATATGATGACATTGTTTATAATTAAGACAGTGACCACAGACTTGACTGCAGTTTAGACCATACATCCCGCCATCACATTCTAGATATTTTAAAGGTTTTATTTAACTATTATCATATAACATACAGAGATAACGTACAGTATTCAAGATCAAAAGTCCATAAAACAATTTAAAACAGGAGAAGAGCAAACACGGACCTCAACAACATCAGAGGTAGGATCAAGTGCCATGTCATTTTCTCTGTTTTATTTAATATGTTAATGTTTCTATTCTTTTATCAAATAGTTTTCTTCTATTACTTTTGCAAAACTTAATAAATATGTAATGTATATCATTATGGTATATACAAGTGATGAAATATTGATATCCCTTGTAAAAATTAATTAAAAAGACATTAATTACATGTAGAAATTACCTGTCTTGCAGAGGGGTTCCTTGAATCCAGGAGAACATCCGTGTAAACAGGTACCGTTGATATGATGACACTGTTCATTATTTAAGCAATGACCACAGGTCTTGGGGCAGTTTACACCGTACGTTCCTCCGTCACATTCTGTAGATAAATTTTGAAAATGGATTCATAGTTCATTATTTCATTTTTCTTAGTTCTTTCGTTTTTTCTGTATCTAGAAAAATTTAAAAATAAAAAAGGCATAAATGATCAAGATGAGGAAATGATTCTCTCTGGTGGGTCTGCATTCATGGGAATAATATTTATAAACGATAAAACCTTGCGATGGTGGATAAACCATTCAATGGAAAATCTATGATTGTCAAGTATAACAGCCAGAAAGTTAATATCTAAAAATTAGATCAATCACTGCACGTACAAAAGTCTTCAAAAGTGAAAACTAAGTAAAATTAAAATAGCTCTACTTTTTCAAAGCCTTGTGATCATTGAAATACTTTCCACTTAAATTCTTACCCTTTGAAGAGTTTCTAATCTCATCACCAATTCAAACATTCTTAAAATTGAATCCCTAACAATTCTTGTTTGTTTAGGAATAGTTACTTTATGGAAGTACACATCAACTGTTTTTAAAATATTGCCTAAATTATTTCTTAATTATTGGTTTCCATTGTCAATGAGTGAATCTTGTTTCTCTATATGTTTGGACATTTGTATTGACAAGTACCTTTGTCACATAGGAATCCTTTGAAACCTGCAGAACACCCTCCTAAACACGTACCGTTGACGTGATTACACTGTGTATTGTTTATACAATGTCCACAGATCTTGTTACAGTTATGTCCATATATACCACCATCACACTCTATCAAAATATTGTTCTTATATACGTTTTATTCTCGATTGGAATATAAATCATAAAAAAAATAATTTTAACTGTAGTTTAATAAAATTGCATTTCCTAACATATGTTATTTCTTTTATAAACAAATAATTATGATTATAACTTACTTGTTTTGCAGTTTTGACCCTTGTATCCAGGAGAACACCCGTGTAAACAAGTACCATTGATATGATGACACTGTTCATTGTTTAAGCAGTGACCACAAGACTGAGTACAGTTAATACCATACATTCCTCCGTCACATTCTGTAGAAAAAACATTCATTGACTGTGGAATATACAAGTGGTAAAAAATGAGTATTCTTTTGTCAAAATTAAACAGAGTTAAAATAAATTAATAGTTTACGGCCCCGTGTATCCTTTAGAACAAGTAATGCTGATATGATGGCACTGTTCATTGTTAAAGCAATGACCACAAGACTGATTTCACGAAACACCATACATTCTACCCTTATTCTGAGAGTCGGTGATACATGTATGTCTGTTTAAAAAACGATTTATACCTAGACCCATCCTTTTTTCTGTTGATATCGGTATACGATTTAAAAACAAAATGAGGAATAAGCAGCGAAGGCATAAAGGATAAAGTCTTTTTTATTGCGGGTCCGCATTACATAGGAATTACACTTTTTGACATTTTAATGCCTTGGTTTATAGACAAGACTTTTTAAAATAGCAACCGAAATTAAATTCGATTTGAAGTACGCCTTCTTGCCAAAGAGGCAAAAACACCCACACTATTACTAACACATACAAGCACGTTTCTATCTTAATCTCCTATGCTAGGGAATACCTCCTATAAACGATCAATCTAAATTATTTTTAGGTAAGTTGCAGAATATTTAATTGCTACTTCGCATCTATATCTGAAAAAAAACTTACCATAAGTACAGAGTTGACCTTTATATCCTGGCGAACATCCTTTCAAACAGTAACCAGTATCGACCTCACATTGCTGTTCTTGACAATTTACTGAACAGGTCCGATTACAATCCTCTCCATAATTACCAAGAACAGGGCACCCTATTTTACAAAAATAATATTCTGATTTACGTGCTTTATAATTTATAGTTTTTACTTTAAAGACATGCAGTATTCTCAAAAAAAGACAAACAGTAAATATATTTAATCTGTATTTTTCCCGTGTATTATATTTCAGTTCGGAAACCCATGGTTTGAATTAATTTTTCTTTAACATTTTTTTCTTGATTATGTAGCCTCACCACCTTCAAAAAGCCTGTTGGAACATTTAAGTTTAAAAATCGAATATTTTTGAATCAAGAAATGTTTCAGTGCGCTCCGTCTGATGATTGGAAAATCAACCATGTTTAATGATTGTATTTAAATGTAGGCAGGTTGTGAAAAGAAACACTAGGAATATCAATTACTGCAGAGAACTGAAGATTTTGGATAATGTTTCAGTAAAGGATAAGAGTAAAGTAAATAAGTCATAACCTGAGTATGTTTGATGTTTTTTTTCAGTGCAGATGGTGTGAATCCCAGTAGTAAACATTTGGGAGCATTTTTTTGTTGCAATTCCAGCAGCAGTAAAAGAAGGAATATTAGCAATGCATGAGGATAAGAAATGATAAATGGAAATTAATAATGGAATGATTAACAAGAAAAGCTCTGATTGGTCTAAAGAGAGTCATAACGTCAACGAATACATTAAATATTAAATCAGTTTGGCCCTCAATTCCAAATTTCCAAAGTGTTTTGTAAATGTGGCTAAAATTCGAAGGAAGTCAAATTTTGTGGTACCCAATGAAAAATTTAGTCAAATCTGCAAAATATAAAAGCAAAAGCCCCACCAAAGCAAACGTTTATGGCAATATTTCAAATATTTTGCAGACAAACAGACAGATTGAAGAACAGACACTGCAAAATTAACGCATCCCCAAAATCTTTCATAACAAAAACATAAATAATAAAGGAATGCAATGCACGTAATCTAAGAGTTTACCATAGACTTCCACTTCACATAATTCGTTGAAGGCATATTGGGAGTAGTAACTTGGATAAGTTACAGCCGTAGAACGCTCGTTATAATATATAACGTAACGTCCATATACAGAGCACTTGATCCTCTGGTCCTCTACAGGTGTACCGCTTAAGGTCTGTATATCATGGAAACAAAGATGACCGTCTGATTTGAACGTTGTATTTGAAACATAGAGGAAAAACCCTGCAAATCTTCCCACGAAATGACTGGGACCTTAAAAAAGACGGAATAAAAGTATACAAGATATTCATATTACAGATATTGATTGAGAATTGCTATAATAACTCTTGCTCAACTGATCTAATGTGATGGAGAAATCATGGTTGATATATAAAGTCTAAATAGCTTTACTTATGAACTAATATTTTACAGCAATCAGAAAGAATAGAAGCAATTAACATCTATGTATGACACAGAAAATGTATGCTTGTATGACACAGAATATGTAACTAGTCAATTGAAATGTAAAGGTTCCTCTGTTGAGAGACAACAAACAAATTTCATTGCTTGTATTCAAAGTTGAAAACATGCATTTAAAAAACTGTTTTCTTGTATTCTTGTATCTGAATTCTATTGGCACAACCAAATTTGAAGTTGACATCGTGGTCTGACCCACTTTTGCAAAAAAAGAAACACGCATACACACATACACACACTTTAATCTTGGTAAAAATTTTTGAACCGTTGATGCAAGGGCTTTCATGTCTCCACTGTGTATGTATTGTGTTACAAGACCTTTGAATTGATATAAATGATTTTAATCGTTGACCTAAGAAATTGATCCACTTTAAAAAGACCTTTTCTTTGGCCATTATTATTTCACAGATGTAATACACCTGACTAGACCTTTCATTAGATACCATCAATTTCGATCTTTTGATCATGACCTTTGCAGTTTGAATTGCATCTGAAAAAACTTTAATCATCGCCAATAGTTTCAAGTTCAACACAAGGGCATCAGTGTTTCACAGATACATCTTATTGTTTCCTTTGACTTTACGGGAATCGATAACTTTGTTCTCCGACAAATATAAATAAAACATTTAAAAAATATATCTCTTGTTCGTCTGGGTCGTTTACACAACATCGATTTTTATTCATGCTATATGAAAAAAAAATTGGTCGGACTTCAAAGTATCGAAAAAGTGGGGGTTTTTATGTACATATCAATTCAAGGTAAACTTCTTAATTAATACACAATTAAGTTGTCTAATTATGAGAGGAGTTTCTATATACTTTGTACGTTATCCGTTCTGTAGAAGATGTTAATGTAACTGATGCTGACCACACTCTCTAGATCTACTCTCCATTCTGCCGTCTGTTGTTTATCTCCTGATATTGTACACTGGTTACTTAGAGCACTACGGTTAGTATACTTCCCATCAACAGCCTTGTCTGCTCCCCATGGAAAGGATTGTGAAAAATCTTTTTTCTGCCAGGCAGGTTTCCGTAATGCTAAATTGGCTAAAAAAGATATGAAATAAAATTTATTGTTTTAGAATTAGTATGCAAAAATAAAATATCCTCTGCAAACCGACAGTAAATAAATTTCAATCTTCCTGCTTTTTTCAACGTTATGTTGAAAGAAGAACTTAAGTACGCCTTATTCATTCGTTGTTTTATTTCTTTTAAAAATATATAATTAAACACATTCTCTTAATGATACAGCAATGATCACAAACATTTCCCTATCTTTATAGAAAAAAGTTATTTTGATTAAAAAAAAATATACATTGTAAATAATATATGGTCTGGCCGGGGCCATGAAACTTAGACGAGCTCACTTTTGATCTCAGTTTCCCTTTTTTCAAAGAAAAGTGAGACTTGGATTTTGTCTAATATTCTAGCCCCCATGCCAGTTCTAAAAAAAATCTATTTAGCAAGCATGAATTAACTTGTAATTTTACAATCTTACTATATCCACAAGTATACGTTGCACACACGATAAGTTGGAGGATATAGCGAATTATTCTCTTCATTCTGAAAAATCATAATAAAAGAAATAACAAAAGACCACCGGGCAATATTGCTCATCCACACTTGTAAGGAAAAAAAACAAATAAATCATTTCAGTATTGAAAAGTTAACGGGGTTTAAACTTAAGTTATCCTCAACCTCAAGATGTATCCATAGAGATATTCCTAATAATTTTTTTGCTATTCCTAAACAAATTTCTAACAATTCTGAAAAAAATATATGAGTGATTTAGTGAAAAGAAACAAACAAAGCATATTTTGAATCTGATGTCTCCTTTCTCCAAAGGACCTTAGGGCTGGACTAAAATCACCAAAATTAATACAATCTTAAATGTATTGCTCGATATCAAGCCGTCAAACTGTTAGCATGATTGTAATAAAAACTGATCCCTAAGCGAAATTATAAATTCATGGCCCAAACATCAAGAATTCACGGGTGATACTCTGGGAAAAGTGGCTGATTGATTGATTGCTTATTGTATAACGTTCTAATTGAGAATATTAAAGTCGATCATTTAGAGATGTCACCATATGCCGGAAAAGGGATTCATATTTAGACCTATACTCGGCACTCAGAACTATTGAGCAAAGAGGTTTCTTTATTATGCCAACGCCTACCGTTAAACGAGACCTACACTTTTAAATTCTTATCCAAAAGACCAGTGACTCACTTTAATGCTGAGCGCTTTGCGAAAGAACAGTCACTACCTATGTTTACGTCTTAGGTTTGACGCGGCGCCGCAAACGAGAATCGAATCCGGGCCTCTCGATCACGAAGCGAAGGCTCCACCACTAGGCTACCGTGATCGCTTTTTTAGCTCACCTGAGCCGAAGACTCAAATTAGCTTTACTGATAACATTTTGGCTGTCGTCCGTCCGTCCGTCTGTAAACTTTTAACATTTTCGACTTCTTCTCAAGAACCACCGGGTCAATTTTAAACAAAATTGATACAAGGCATTCTTGGGTGAAGGAGAGTTAAAATTGTGAAAATCAGGGGCCTGTTCCCTTCACATGGGGAGATAATTTAGAGAAGACAAAAATAGGTTGGGGTCATTAAAAAAATCTTCTTCTCAAGAACCACTGGGCCAGAAAAGATGAAACGTATGTGGAAGCATCAATGAGTAGTGTAGATTCTAAATTGTTCAAATCATGACCCCCGGGGGTAAGGCGGGGCCACAAAAGAGACTCAAAGTTTTACATTGAAATATATATGAAAAAAAAACTTTTAAAATGTTCTACTCAAGAACAACTGGTCCAGAGAAGCTGAAACTTATGTGGAATCATCCTGGGGTAGTGTAGATTCTGAATTGTACAAATCATGACCCCCGGGGGTAGGGTGGGGCCACAAAAGAGTATAAAATTTTTGCATAGAAATATATAGGAAAAAACTTTGCAAATCTTTTTCTTAAGAACCACTTAGCCAGAGAAGCTAAAACTTTTGTGGAAGCATCCTCGGGTGGTGTAAATTCTAAATTGTTCAAATTATGACCCCCAGGGGTAAGGGGGGTCACAAAAGGGTATCAGAGTTTTACGTAGAAATATATATGAAAAAAATTAAAAAAAATTTCTACTCAAAAGCCACTGGGCCAGTGTTCAAATCATGACCCCCTGGGGTAGGACGAGGCCAAAATAAGGAACAGAAGTTTCACATTGAAGTATATAAGAAAATGCTTAAAAATTCTTCTCAAAAACTACTGGGCCAGAAAAGCTGAAACGTATGTGGAAGCATCCTTGTTTAGTGTAGATTTTAAATTGTGATCGTTAGGGCCGTGGGTCTTGTTAAAGATATATTTTCAATATATCCCTATATCATACTTTGGCCCACAGTCACTGTTGAATTCCGTCCTACCCTCGGTTGTCATAAATTGTACAAACTTCACTGTACAACACCTGAGGACACATCTTTATTCATATGTCAAATAATGACAAAGCTGTTATTGAGGAAGATTTTTAAAATATTTTAAATCCTTTACATCTTTTGAAGCTATACACGTTAAAAGCACATAAAAGACTAAAACTTGCTTATAAACTTTAACGTT